AGCTTTGACTAGGCATTGTATATAATGCATCGTCATTTTAAAGAATGCCCGTAGGTGTGTCAAGTAAAGTATAATTTAAATATATTTGTTGAAAAACATTTATTTTACAGTATTGATTTATTTTGCATATGATTGGTTCAGGTTTGTTAATTTGACTTTATTTTACATTATTATAAAAAAAAATGAAATTAAATAAAAATTATTAAAGATTTGGCTAGTGCCAAAATAGGAATAATATGTCTAAAAAATCCTTTAGAATAATGAAATATTGTGTATAGGTTAGGTTCGATTATTTTAAATTAGATGAATTAATGTCAAACAAGGGTACAAAAGTCTGTGAATGACCAATCACAATGATTTAATTTAATACAAAATTTAATACATTTCTTATAGTGCCAACAGGCATTCTATAGAATATGACTAGGCAAAGTATATAAAGCTATATAATGAACTCTGCTTGGTGCATTTTAGTCATTGCATAGAATGACTAGGCATTCTATTGAATGCCTGATTATAAACATTTTCTGTAACATCTATATATATAAAAGGCAAAGCCCTCACTGACTGACTCACTCACTCACTCACTCATCACTAATTCTCTCACTTCCCATTTACCTAGGAGGTTGAAATTTGGTACACTGATTCTTTAGGCATTAAATAGGAAAACTAAGTGGTTTTTATTCTGATCGGACTATCGGGCTCCGCCCCAGTGGCTCTGGAGTTTCCCATGTTAACCTAACGAGTACTCATATTTAAATGGAATAAATGAATCTTAACAGCTGTTTCAATTAAACAAGTTGTTTCTGTTCTATGATGTTCAATAGCATTAAAGTTACAAGGATTACCAACAGAGTGCAGCACTATTATTTTTTTAAAATATATTTGACAACAGCTAATTTTAAACCAAAAGGTGAGTGAGCAAAGCGAACGAACTTCAACCCGGGGGCGAGTTAGCGTAGCGAACGAGCTAACCTGAAGGCAAGTGAGCGCAGCGAACGAGCTCCAACTTAAAGGTGAGTGAGCGTAGCGAACGAACTTCTACCAGGACGTGTGAGCGCAGCGAACGTGCTCCAACCTAAAGGTGAGTGAGCGTAGCGAACGAACTTCAACCAGGACGTGATTGAGCCATGCGAACGAGCTCACATATGAAGTTAAACGGGGCAAAGCCCGCGGGTACAGCTAGTGGTTATATATTGATAAAATTTGGCAAATTTATTTATTTCATCCTATACTATTGACGTATGGTCAAAAAACACTTTTTACCTTCCCCGTAGCAGTAAACCTAAGCACTCGTTAAATATAATGTTATTTAAATAGGGAATAAATCTATATAATTAATACGCTACATGAAACTTTGTCGGTTGAACTCCTTCGCCATTTCTTAACCGATTTTATCCATTGACGTCTCATTGGAAAGAGCGTGTCGCGTAGATTTGCAAACTGGCCTTACATTTTCGAAAAAGCCCCTTGGGCTCTGCCCCAGTGGAAAGTTGAAAGTTCCCATGTTATCCTTATGAAGAACATAATTGTTTACATTTTGATCAGCTGTATAATTTACTTGCTGTTATTTATTTTCCAATTCAAGGAAACGCATAGGTTACATTTACTGATTTGGTTGAAATTAAATATTTGCTACTTTAATTTACATTCGTACTTTATTCCGATGTAAAAAATCGAGAAAGCCTGGGCAATTTGATATATTTTACCAAAAAAGAAAAATGAATTGACAGGTTACTGTATTTCTTGAGCAATAATTGAAAGAACCGATTTTTTACCATGGAAACATAGGAGTCATAGAACACCACCAAGTAGAAAAAATAGAGATAAAAAAACCATTTACTATCGTTATCATCCTAAATAATGAAGAGCATTTACAATATAAAGATTCCCACAAACAATGAACAGGGATGTTAGCCAAAGTGTTACTATTTTGTAGTTAACACTGACTTAACTTTATGATGATTGGCAAAGGAAAACACTCTAGGGCTGAATTAAACTGGTACGGCAAGGACATTAAATATATGTTTTCATAAAAGTCAAGTGATTTTAAAATAAAATGACTACATCCAAGAAACCCTAATAAAAACTTTCACTGAAGGATTTGCATTATTCACATTTAAGGGAAACAAAAAACCATCTGAACGACATTTGGCCTTTCAATTCTGCATTTTTTTCAGGTATATATAACTTACGTTATCAGGCAGTTCTTAAGTAATGTAAACAAAATGTCATCGCTATAAAAAATTACTGAAATTTGTAAACATACTAGCGACAACGGGTAGTACTATGCAGACTACATTATCATTGACGAAGATCAACCTGGACCACCTAATTCGGCTATAAGTGGGAAAGATATGTAGAATATATAAAAAAAACCAGATCAGCTTTTGAAAAATGATCAAATATTTACTAGAAATGTTGATTATATGTAACTGTTGGCACAGAAAACATACTTCTCTGCTGTTAGTCACGTAATCTATGAACTGAGTCTTTTAAACTCATCGGAAATTATGACTTTTATTCGTTTTTAAATAAGTTAATTATTTGTTTTTAAATACTGTAACTACTTTACTTCTTTGCAATTGCTCGATTTCGAGCAACATGTACACTAGTATGTCTTATTTATGGAAATATTTTAGTAAAAATGTAATCAGACAAGAAATTTCCTGTATCCTTCTGTATCACGACCGTCTATACTTCTCGTGATAATAATACTTAGGAATGATCTAAATTGGTAACATTTTATTTGAACATGTCTTTTGTAAGAAGTCTCTAACACTAATAACAATATTTGTTTACCTCTGATCATAATAATATAATATCCTAAATAAAACATATGTTTTATTTACAGTCTTGAAACATCCCCCTCCTTAAAGGTCGAGTCTCCTTGGAGGATGTACTTGACGTCCGTGTCTAGACGTCATAATTATAATGATATGTTAGTGTATGTAATAATATGTTAGTTATATATATATTATATTATTATTTAAATTATAACTAAGTTCATATATAATTAAGAGATTAACAAACATTCAAATAAGCTTACAAACGAATTCGCCTTGATTATGGAATTAATGGTTCATAGATAATTATACGGTTACAGTTGTTAAATAAAGTATTACAATACTATTCCTATAAACGCATATGCACTTTTAAATATTAAAAGTACAAAGCATTTTTTCCCATTCTTTACTAGTTATAGATGAATTATTTGCTTTTCTTTAAATACAGATTCTAAACATTTTTCCAGTTCATTTATTTTATTGTTGGCTTAATTCAAAACAAGAAGTTAGTAGTTTCGCTAAATTAGTTACGAATCCCATTCACTACCTTCTTAAAAGCTGTTATTCAATTTTATTACAGTATTTGCATTCTTAATGCTAAGTTTCAAGAAGCAAACGTGTATTAAGTCAAAAATAATTCTTCAAAGTCAAAGATAAAAATCTCAAGTCGTATCAACGTTGTGGCTTCAGAATTTATGAAACTCCTAAACTGTTCTGATTTATTACCAGCGGAAGCGGTGTTTCAGACTCATTCAATCTGAAAAAGTCATCTGAAGAAGAGTTATAAGCTTGTTTAAGACAAGGTTAAGACTTCAAGGTCTCTTTCACATTTATTTAAAGGAACCTTCGTTCTATTAATAAAATACTTCGTTACGCCATATGGTTTTATTTATTTATTTATTTATTTATTCAACGGTAACACCATTTTTACATTGGAATATACATTAAATAGGATTAAATCACTTTATAAACATAGCATAATTAGGTAATAAATATGAGCAATAATAAGAATAAATTAGAAAGCAGACATGACATGCAAAAGACATAACCAGTATAAAAGAAAACAAAAATACATTCAAAGGCTGAATCATTTCAAGTGTAAGACATACAAAGACATAGCAAATTTGGTACAGGCTACTAAAATACGTGCAATTAATAAGAATGAAAATGAGAAGCAGGCATAAGATGCAAAAGACATAATAATATGGCGCAAAGATAACAACAACAGGTAAAATATGAATTGCAAAAACATAACAACAACAATATTTAACAATATGCAATCGAGACATAACAACAACGAGAAAAAAAAGGAAACAACAAGTGCAATACCGGTAGGCTAACAAAAGAAATAGTATTTTAGTAGGTAATGAAACTTAATTGCCTACAGGCCTACAAAGACAGATTTAGTTACCAAATAATATTATAAAGTAAGTTTAATTTTGGTTGGTCGCTTTAACTGATATATCGACCTAAGGAGTAATTGTGTCACTGCATCAAAAATAACTTTTTTTTGCTGGATTACAACCAATTCCCTGTATTGGATTTGGGTTTAGAGCAATTTGGTATTTACGTATTAGGTATTTGCTCACCACCGTACAATACCAATCGTTTTACCTCATCATGTATTACTCTAGCTTTTTTGTACTAAGTATGAAACCAATACATTCGCTGGTCAAATATATTTCCATTTAGTGTAAATATTTCAAAATATCAAAAAGGTGTACTTTTCATCTGTGATCGTACAAACCTACATACCTGAAGCTTTTGGGGAAATAAATAGAATAATAACGGTAGGATTTTATAATCTTTGACTAGGCATTGTATATAATGCATCGTCATTTTAAAGAATGCCCGTAGGTGTGTAAAGTAAAGTATAATATATATTTGTTAAAAAAACATTTATTTTACAGGATTGATTTATTTTGCATTTAATTGGTTCAGGTTTGTTAATTTGACTTTATTTTACATTAGTAAAATAAAAAAATAAAATAAAAATAAAATAATTAAAGTTTTGGCTAGTACCAAAAAAGGAAAAATATGTCTAAAAAATCCTTTAGAATAATGAAATATTGTGTGTATGGACATTAGATAAGTTAATGCCAAAAAAGTGGCTTGTTCAAAAAGTGGCTTTTTATTTTGGTTTTACTAAAGTTTTTTTATTATCTTTACTCCTTTACAAAATTGTAGCGAAAACTTAGTATTTGATTTTTGTTTCAGACAGAACCTGGGATGGATTCAATCGATAGCGACACGTGTGTGTTAACCTTCCCCAATGGCTGAGGTCCCGATTGCAGTATTTCTGTTGGAAAACAGCACAAATATAACAACCTCTTTACCAAGGTAACAAGCATCTTAGAAGAGTAAGTTCGGTTAACTCTGCAAACCCCTTTTGGTAAATGTGTGTAGATTAAACTACTGATTTGAATCTGTTAATAAATCAAACAATAATTTTTATTAAAAAATTGAGTGAGTTGGTTTGGCATTAACTGGCTGTTTGCTTGATTTGTACAGTACTAAAAATTTTCTGTTTTAAGAGATTTTTACTACATAATAAGGTGAGTGGAATTAAATTTTATTCGATAAATTTAGAGTTTGACGCAGACTTTTACGTTGAATAAACAAACTAAATTTCTCTGTTTTATGACATTATGTTATTGAAAATACTTTTAAATTAAAATTACTTTCCTGATTTATACAACAAACACGTTAGTACTAATAACCAAGCCATTTAAATAAAACACAAGCTGAGATGAAAAATCACGTGAAACTGCAATCTATCCTTGCCAAAGTTTCCTGAACCAGTTTACAAAGTGAACCAAACACATTATTCTTTAACAACTTTTAACAGGTGTAACTTAATCTATATTCCTTTTTACTCGACAATTTAACTAGTTTAATGTAATCTGAAGCTAAATATTATTTAAACAAACAGTATGGTAAAGATAACATGTATAGGGTAGCTCAATAATTTTCTACAGGTAAGAAAAAAACAATTAGTATGTATTTTCGTAGCTTTACTTAATCATTCTGTTTGGGCACAGATTGTTTTTCTTTCTTTTTTTTAAATTCTATTAGAGTCTTTATACTTACCAGTAAAGCAAAGTTGGCCATCATCATAAAGTGCAAGGAAAACAACGCTTTTAGGGGCGTTGCACTAAACATCCACTAAACTCGTTTAGAGCTTAGAGTTCTAGTTTCACTTAACAGCTGTGAGTAAATGACTAAACGTTTAAGATGATTAGAGATTCGCTTCCCTTTAACTTTACAATCCAACATTAACATGCCCGATTGATGTTTAAATTAACGTCAAATGACTTCGAACCAAAGTGTTTAAATTTGAAATAGGTAGTGTTTTTACTTTGTATTAAATGACGATTTATTTAAAAGATAATACAATAATACCAGAATAAGAAAGGTAAAGTCTAGGGGAAATGTAGCTTTGGGCTTCAATGTTATACTAATAATATCATCTACTACCTATTGACAGGGAAAGTACTCATGCAGTCAGGGATTCATTTTCAACTCAGAAATCTGTTTTTTTTTTATGTTTACACCTTTGTGTAATTAGGGAAGTGTTCACAATTTTCTTGTTACTGTTTTTTGGCCGATTAAATATTGCATTGCTTTATTGATTCTTTAAAAATGGAATACATTTTATAACTTAAAAACGTATCCTGTCTGCTTAATACACCAGACATATTGTTCTAGATAAGTTGTTTTAGTTTGAACTAAAATGTTAAGTATTGACAGAAATAGTTTAAACGGTAAAAAAGTAAAAGTAATACTGTAAATTACGAACAGTGATTTGCAATAATGTTAACGTAGATAGAACAGCAAAGAGGAAAAATATAATCATAATATGTTGAGTGTAAAGTTGAAATGGCAATGAGTTTCTTTGTAAACGTGTTCAATCTCACAGGTGGATGCCGCCAAGAGTTCTAAAGGAAAATTCATGTTGCAAACATTTTGACGATTTACAAGAATATCTTTGGCATAGTTATCTATGTAACAATTTGTAGTAAATGCTGACATTATTATTTGTAATTTTCATTCAGTATTTCTTTATTCTGTTTGTTCATTATTAACCTTCTCGGTCTTAAATGTGTCATAAATAATTAATTGGTAATACAAAAGGTTTAAAGTATAAATTTAAGGATATTATAATTTTCAAGTACAAAAGGGTAATTTTGCTTCAGTAAACCTTAATGTAATCGAGATTGGAGAGTTAAATTTGAATTTTAAATGCCGTCTCCACATCACCATAAAAACGTAATCCAGAGCCCATTTTTTATTAACAAAATTGGATAATTTAAAGTATATGAATACATGGAATATAAAAATCACATACCTAAGGGAAATGTGTGTATTTTGCGTTGTAATAACGTGTTTTTATAACAATGTGTTACCAAATATACTTCAATTTAAAATAACTTAATAAAATACTAATGAATGTAGGTTGTCAAACTAAAGAACCAAATACCATTATGTGTCTGGACAATGGAAACCCAATATTTTTCTAATTTACGGTTTAAACTCATGAGATTCTCGAAAAAATATACATTAATTTCTAAATAGTTGACTTCATTAGAATGTAAGCCTAATCCATTCATTTTTCGTGGAAGCGTGTTTTAAATGCGTGAATTAAATCTGGTAAGTATGTATGTTCTATATTTTATGAAAAAATTATTAATATTAGGTTTCCATAGTAAGTGCCTCAGAAAATTTTTTATTACTTGTAAATATTGTTTTGTGTGTTTTATTTTTATCTAATATGTGTTTTTACTGTACACAAATGTCCTAGAATACAGCACTTATTTCTTTCTTTGTTATGTACAATTAAAACCCAATGACCTGGCATGACGCTGTCATTCCCTACATTATGTTTTTCACGAAAAATTGCGGTTTCAATATTCCAACAAAAGATGTTATTACCTCTCAACTTAACGAACCTTAATCCTCTCGAATCTCAGATCAGCGTGTCACACGAATTCTGCAGCCCTATTTATATCTCAGCGACGTTACTTTCCCGCTCTATTGTATACTCAGTGGGGGGCGAGCTGGTCTAGTGGTAGAGCGTTGGGCTTCGGTGTCCGAGGTCCTGAGTTCAAATTCCGCCAATCACTAATGGATTTTATCCACGTGGTAATGTCGAAACCCTCTAAGACTAGCCTTAAGTGGTTACAGCAGTTCCGGGATAGATATAGCGTCCCAAGATGTGAAGGTGGGACAAAAATGTTATATTCAGTAAATCTTCCTGTAATAAGTTAGAGCCAAAGCTACGACCATTGTCTTACTATTTCACAATCATCTATCAGTAAAATTAAGGTTAAAATATATATTTTTAGCATCCCAATTTCACATCAATGATATAGTCATATTTTTCCAGTCACTCAGCAACAGGCAGGGAGTCCACCGAAGGAGGGGGGACCCAGAACCTGTGGGGCCCCAAGCGGGACCCACTGTGGGTAGTGGTGCCTGTGACAGTATATTACGTCATCATCTTCATCAGTGGCGTAGTCGGCAATGTCAGCACATGTGTCGTCATCGCTCGTAGTAAACACATGCACACCGCCACCAACTACTATCTGTTCAGCCTGGCTATCTCGGACCTACTACTGCTGTTGTCCGGTCTACCACCAGAGATGTACCACATTTGGTCCAAGTAAGCAGTTTAGACTTAGGTTATAATTGAAAAAAGACCGTTAAATAATCTTGACTTAACAGTAATGAAGAGTCATTTTGTGATTCGTTAACGAATTTGTTGTAGCTTAATGTTATTCCATGCACAAACATAAACCAAGAGTTTTAAGTATCAAGGGTTTAAATTTTTTTTTAAAGATTCGCAAAGCTATTTATAAAGAATATTTATGCGAATTTGAGCTAATTTAAAAGAATATTCCGATCTTATGGATTCAAATCTAAGTAGTAATTCAATTAATTACTTATGTCATGTGTAGGTTTCACAAATAGGCTACATGAGTGAATTCACCTTATTACAAAAACATTACCAAATCCGCTAATGTGTCTAATAATGTACCCAGCAATGCTTTAATATTGTGTCTGCACTATTTGTATGAGAAGTAGTTTTATTGTTTAGTCGGTATTTGATTAAAAACTAAAACACCAACTAGTATTACTTCCTTAAGTAATTACTAGGTAGTTTAAGTTGATGGACTTAACATAAAATTATTCATTCAAAAGTACGTTCCCCCAACCACCTTCTGATATATTTCTTCCGTCCAATACATTTACACGTTCCAGCTACCCCTACGTGTTTGGCGAGACGTTCTGTGTGCTGACGGGGTTCGCCTCGGAGACCTCCACCAACGCGACTGTCCTCACCATCACCGCCTTCACTGTAGAGCGATACGTGGCCATCTGCCATCCCTTCCTGTCTCACACGGTCAGCAAACTGTCCAGAGCCGTCAAGTTCATCATGGCCATCTGGATCTTCTCGATGATCCTTGCTGTGCCTCAGGTATGCATCTGTAAAAACAACTCCTTAATTAGACCGAATAGTCGAGTAAAATGAAACTGTTATAACCTAACCTAACATGATCATTAAGAAAAAAAAAAACTAATGAAGGATTACTAATTGAATCGGTATTAGGACAGCACTGACCATACATCTAATGAACAACACGGCAAAAAATAGGACGGCACTGGCTCCACTTCCCTGAAAAAAAAAAAAAAAAAAAAAAAAAAAAAAAAACACGGACAGAAACACAAAAAAGATCTTATGGTACTTATGACCGGTGCTACTATAAATTAAATGCATCTTCTGACACGGCTCAATAGATTGGAAAGATATCGTGAAGTTTACAAGACAATCATGTAAATGTTTATCCCACATTTGGCAAAACAGACAGGACATTATTGACAGTAGTAGTTGAACATCACTAGGCCCAACTCGGTACTAGAAATAAAGTGGCGTTTCGACTAAAAATATAATTGGTCACAGATACCTTCGATTACGATTGAATTAAAGTTTACCTCAGTAAAAAATTGAAATTTAGATTAAATATATGCCCCTCCATTACTTAAGTATGGCTCGGATAAGTGTTTTCCTGGAACATGTTTTAATCCAGAATTACGCATCATAACCCCCTTGAAACAGGTTTCATTTGAGTGATTGTAGAGAGATGTAAAATTAAGTTTACACGTTGCTTTTGTCATAAAATATCATGCTTTATGGTTTTGGTAATTAATTGCCCATAGTAAAAGTTGTACGTTTAAAAGTTAAAGTTACCAGATGAAACACAGTATGGAAAAGAGGTTGACTTAAAGAACACCTTCTTCTCAAACAAAATTGAATTAGCACGTTATTATGCCTACATCTTTGGGAACCCAGATTGAACACCCAAGTAAGATATAGCCCACAATGAAACCTAAATTGTATATATTACTCAAGAATCACGACTTCCTGAAGACGAATCTGATTTGCGATATGGGTTTTATCAGTCAGAACTTAATGAAGACCTTCAGATTCTTGAGCGTGTAAAGGGATGCCGTAAAAGATAATGTAAGTGTTCAGAGACTCAGAACCAACTGTAGAAGTTAGAGTGCATTTGAATACTAATGTAATGAATGCAGATGAAGAGTACATTCTCATAGTACTGGAACAGATTTTATGTCTTTGTAATTGTGTTGACGAGGCGAATTTAAATATGTGCTCTAATTAAGCTTCACAATCCTGCAAAAAATGTAGTTACAGTTAAGATACATCATATTCCTGTGAAACTAAAAGAGGTTAGTGATAGTTTACTTTCTATTCATCAAACAATCTTTACGTGGTCATACAAAACCAAACAAAGATTAAAAACAAATTAAACATTAGAATTATTTTATGTTTTGGCTATTGTAAGCTGATGAATGTAAAACTATATATCTATTATGCATTTTATACACATTAAGTTTGCACCACTGAAGCCTATAAAGTTAAAGTATAAAGCTTAATAATAATAGTCATTAATTATATATTTTATAGTTCCTTGACTTCTTTTATAATAAAAATGTCTTCATTATCCTCTAATGGTAGGTAAAGGTTTCATCAAAAGAATTCTGATGGAAAACTAAACTAATACGCTAACGAAGATTGGTTGAGGTGTAACAATATAGTTATAGTTAAAACTGTAGTTATAGTTTTTTTCTGTTTATGGTTTAGAAAATAAGGTTATTTTTTTTCGTTTCTCGTCACGATTTTTGATAGAATCTTTTTATTTATTTTTATGTTTTAACAAGCTGCAAGCTTTGGCAATGTTACGAGATAGGGTAGCCTATTTTGAAATTGTTTGTTATGAAAACTAATATTTACTTTTCCAACACATGTTTGAGCCTGTGCTGGACTACGAAAGCTATCAAATGTAGCAAATATTAATCAAATTGAGTCTTAATGATATCTTATATGGTTTTTATTCTTAATAATAAACAAACAAAATGACACCAAAACGATTTTTAGTCAAGAAGAATACATACATCTTTCCTCAGGCTATCCATTTGGGTCTTATCTGAAAGACGAGTTATTATCGAAGTAAAACAGTGCTATGTGATCATAGAATTAAATTATAGTGGCAAATATTTAGTTTTTACCGGGTATAATCTATCGTTTACTTTTGAAAGAACAACATTGTAGTCAAATTAGTTTAAGGGTTTGAACTTAAAGATTTTATATTTTTGTCTACAAAAATAAACCACGTAAATAGATTAATACCACACCAATTAAAACTAAAGAAACTCTCAATTTAAAATGTGAACTACCATAAAACACTACTAAAAACAGTGCAATGCTATTTCACCGATGTATGGTTGGATCAATTTTGCACATCTACAACATGCTGAACTTTGTTTGCAGGCTATCCAGATGGGCCTGGTCTACCTGAGAGACGAGGATGGCCACATAGTCAGTGAAGAGTACACCTCGTGCACCATCAAACACTCCATCATCCCCTACTCCTTCTTCATCTCCACCGTCCTGTTCTTCCTGACGCCGATGACGCTGATCACCGTGTTGTACGTGCTGATAGGAGTCCGTCTGCACAGCTCCAACCAGATCACCCACGACAGCTCCCAGCGACGTCGCAGAACTCTGGTGGTTGACAAGGAGACCCATGTCATCGTGAGGGGCAGCCAACGCAACGGGCAGCACTCCAAGAGCACCAAGAGAGTAGTCAAAATGCTAGGTTAGTGTATGGGTTTGTGAATCTTAATGAATCAATGGTCGATACAGTGACTATATTAATTTTTGTGCTATTTCCAAGCTGAGGAGCAATTATTGATGTAAGTTCTCCTTATGCCTCTAAGTACCATATGAAGGCTGATACACATTTTTTCCACTTGGCAAATCATATTTCAAGAATCAGAACGTGGTCTTCTTCAAAATAAGAAACTTTTGCCCCATGATTGTGTTAAATAAAAAAGGTTTACGTTGTCAATGTCATTATCATGAAAATTATACTTGTTGCTTATGCCTGGTGATATTTTTTACATTAAAAAACTGCTTTAGAGGTATATGAAATTAATTAAGCTGTCTTGTTGCAAATATAATTAGATGCATGCATTAAATATCTAGGAATATAGTAGTTGGAATCTTAAATTATAGCAACTCCAGGAATTGTATTGAATGGTTTTTAAGTGTGAACCTTTTATTTACGTATCTTGTCCTTGAGTGCAGGACCGAGTGCCAATTGCCTAACAACTTTGACGAGGGTCATTTTTAAGTCTGAGGCTTGACGGTGCGAGTGCCAGCCAGGTATCAGTGACCGGTTCCACTGTCAAAGGGTATGGGGATGGACAGATCAACCAGGAAGGTACAGGATGAGCAATACTTAAATTGAATAAAGATTTACTAATCAAATCGATATTTTCAATCGATATTAGGGTAGTCCGGTTTAAGAATTCGTACCCGGTCTCTATTACATCCTGCCCAATACACCCCCTTCCACTAATACCCCTCCCCTGAATCACTCTTACGCCCTGAGGAGTCAAACAGCACTGGGGCCTATGTGACGGTTTTGACAGTTTATGACCCACACGGCAAAGAATATAACGGCACTCGCTCCTTTTCCCCTTGTCCTTACTTTTTTTCAAACATATTGGGAAGAAGAAAGGTGTTTTTATTTTGGCATTCATATCGTGAATTCATATTTAAACTTGATATTAACCTTAATGCCGAAGTAGGATAAATAGTTTTCCAAATTTTGTTAAAAGAACTATTATTAGGTAAATTGTATCGGTAGAACAACAAAAAAGCTATAAATAGGACATTTCAATGTACGTTTTTTGTAAAGCTGAGTAATATAAAATAGCTCATTAGTAAAAAAAAAAGTTAGTATTACGGTATTTGATCAAAACCAAGCAGAACCTATTCTGTATTCATTATTCGTAATGAAAAACAGAAAGCATTACTAACTCCCAGTAAAAGGTTTCAGTTCATCAAAAGTCGCCAAGGTCAAAAAAGAAATGTTCACAGCCAGTAAAACACCCTAGTTGACAGTTTGTGTGACACAATGTTTTGCCTCAAGACGACAGCAAAGTAGTTACTCACCAGTTGGTGTGGTTCCAGCCCTCAGTCTGTGTCATAAGCCCACAGCATAAGCTACTTGTTGACGATACGAGTTCAAACAGCTACGTCATCTTGTGGGGATAAATAAATTAGATAATTACTTCCGGAATTGTGAACAAACCTTGGCAGTAGTATGTCATATTTTGTTCGAAATACCTTTTTAGTATCCTGCCTAACATAATACTAATTCAAGCATATTAGTACTACTGACTGGTAGCCTATGTTTTTAAGAGCAGCATTGAACCATCAACACATTGATCACACACACATTCCACATTTCACATTCATTTCACATTCACATTTCATTGATGTAATGAACACGAGAAAAACATTTACAATGTCAATAAAATGTTTTGATTTATCGTCATGTTTAAAAGCAACATGGCGATAATTAATTAAGAACAACGTTCTAGTCAGATGTCTTTAATGGGTCGGAGTATTGTTGACTGCTCACATTGACTTACCAATCAAAAAAAAAGTTTAAACATGAAGTAGGATATAAAGATACTGTAGATGCAAAATAAATGAGAAGATAGTAAAATCAATTTATTGTTATCACAACGATATCCTTACACTATTATAATCCCTAGCAATGGTTGCAAATGCAATAGATTTCTCTTCTTTATAATGCGTTTTATGACTTTTATAATTAGATAAATACTATTGAAAGGTTAACTAAACAAGTAGGTTTATAATCTTGCACCACTCAATTTCTATTTTTAATGCAACAGTTTATTCTGGAGACACGCTTTTATTTTCTGTAGTTTCCGCTCTTTTGGGTCTGCTGTCAGTTTGTTGATGTCATGCAATATTTGTATACAGTGGCTGTTGAGTGCGTTCTTCATCTGCTGGGCACCATTCCAAGTGCAGCGACTGTACGCCATCTACGGGTTCGCGGGAGAAGACACCACAGCCACCGAGATCCTCGTATATAAAATAATGTCTGTAACTATCATGATGTTTATTCACAGTGGCAGTGGTAGTGGCTTTTTTCATCTGCTGGGCACCATTCCAAGTGCAGCGACTGTACGCCATCTACGGGTTCGTGGGAGAAGACACCACAGCCACCGAGATCCTAGTATATAAGATAATGTCTGTAGCTATCATGATGTTTATTCACAGTGGCAGTGGTAGTGGCTTTTGTCATCTGCTGGGCACCATTCCAAGTGCAGCGACTGTACGCCATCTACGGGTTCGCGGGGAAAGATACCACAGCCACCGAGATCCTTGTATATAAGATAATGTCTGTAGCTACCATGATGTTTATTCACAGTGGCAGTGGTAGTGGCTTTTTTCATCTGCTGGGCACCATTCCAAGTGCAGCGACTGTACGCCATCTACGGGTTCGCAGGAGAAGACACCACAGCCACCGAGATCCTCGTCTATAAGATTATGACCTACGCCAGTGGCCTCCTGTATTACCTCTCCACAACTATAAATCCAATTCTCTACAACATTATGTCGCTCAAGTTCCGTCAAGCCTTCAAGGTCAGTCTGTAAAAGTGTCATAGGGTATTGTTTTGGAATCTCGAGGCTTTTACACGATTTTAAAAATTGAATTGTAATGATTAATATCAGTTTCTGTGATACTTTGCTCTTATTGTTTCTTACTTTTGATCATTTTACCCTACCTATAGGGTCTATACTTTTTTTAAATAAACCATACTTAAAACAGAGTGAAAGAATGTTGCATGGTATGGGAATGGACATAATAAGGCTGGAATCATATTTAATGGAAACTGCCACATTTGAACTAAACACCCTCAATCAATGTATCATAACAAATATAAAACATATAAAATATCGCAATATTAGTTTTAAGCTTTATGATGATTGTCAAGGTCATTTTACATCACTTAAAAATCAACATAGCTGAGTTATTGTTACAGAAGGATTTATGAAGTAGATAACAATCTGTAAATCAACAAATAAATTACACATTAAACCATATTGTCTTAGTCATTGATTAGCCTATTAACTAACTCAATCTCATTCATTTACCGTTTTCTTCTTATTTTACAAAATTTCCGAGAACATAAGAGAATTAGTAGCCTAAATTTGCTATCAAAATATGCTTTATCCTACTAAAATATGCAAAATTGACTGTTTAAATGTAAACATGTATCGATAATATCAGGGCGAAATAAATGCCTATATATTAAACAATCAATTTATCTCCCAAATATTGTTTGAAGTTAAAGCAATAGGTCATTGAATCACTTCAAATTAAAGATTATATACATAAACTTACTAAAATTCGTAAACAAATTGTTTTTAACAAATGCCACTTGAAAAATATTATATTCAGAATTGATTTGATAAATATAAAAGCTTTACGTAGTAATGGTTAAGCAACAATCATTGTCATAACGATTTCCAAATAATATTTTTACCAAAAGTTGTAAAGAAACCAAAATACTCGATGGTGGAAGATGAATCTTCCCGTGGTTGGCAAATCGTTCTATTTGTAGATTGGCGAATCACGTTAATGGAAAGCTCTAGTGGGCACTTATGACTATTCATCAAACAGGATTTTGAAATGTGGCTATATTAATAGAATATGTGTATGAATTCAACATTGAATATTACATCAAGGGAAGATTCCAGTGCTGGAGTAATGTAAAACGATATTCAAAATTTTCAACTTTATGACACTGCATAAATTTGTGTTATATTTGTTCAATTATGGGTTGATTTGTATTTAATTGTGTCATAAACATTAATTTTATTGGTTTAAATATTGGGTGTCACATATACTGTTAAGATTAAGATTAAGATTATGTTAAGATTAAGTGATGTGAATATGCAGTGTTGTTATTATTTTCGGCAGATTTCAGGTCTTTAGTTTTCTTAATAATAAGGCAAAAAATTAATTATATTAACTAAACCACTGTAATACTTGAGGTTTTTTTGGATAAAGCTAATGTATTTAAATGAAAATTAATTTAATGCAGAGTTTGATTTTGATTTTTAAATCAATAAAACTAATTAAAAACTGTACACGGTCACCCCCAAGCATGTTCCTTGTTCCTTTCAAAAAGCAATTTATGAATTCAGAAATCAAGACATATATCGTCCTGTTTCCCGTTTTTAAGTGCATAAGTTGATAGGAGACTATTTGATTGGATTTAATTTATAGGAGTCTAGAAACATAATAAAATATTTCATTATGTTTTTGACTTAGTTAATGCATTTTTTTGTTAGTTTTCACCGAATAAACTACTTATGACTTATTTGTTGCCTTTGTAGGATTTAAAACCGTCCAAACTGCAGAACTTAGGTTATCATTATAAGATGTAACTGTCAAGCACAGCATATGACACCTTTATAGGATATGAAATAGCATATTTACTTTTCTTGGCGTAGAAACACAAATAGCTTATTATTTTCTCTTCTAGAAAATGATTTAGTAATCAAAACTAACGTAAATTGACAACGAGCGAATGGTCATTTTCATGGCTAGACAATGTTACACAGTCCAAACTCACGAGTCAGCGAATTTTTTTGAAATCATTTAAGAAAAAAGTTGACGACAAAAAATACTGAAAGAATCACCTCCAGTAGAATATTGATTTCTTTTATCGCGTTTTATGAATGGAAACTGATTGTCGATTAGCACAGCCACTGCAACAGTCGTTGAGAAGTGAAAGCTGCAAATTGTTGCAGTGTTATATTGAATGAGAATTTTTCCACCTGACCTCTATTAATATAATGATAGTCAAATTATTATTAAAATTAAAATTAGGGACTGTTAGTTAATAACTATTAAACTCCAGATTTATTAATAAAAGCAGAGAGTTTATGCAAATATTTATATAGCTAATTTATTGTTTTTTCTCTCAAATGGTAGTATATATGTATCTGAATTCATGTTAAGGACAGACTATAAAGTTAAAGTCAGATTGTACATTAATGGTGGTTTTCAGCACATCTTAATATAGCACTAAAATGCTGATCAAGAAGTAATTTAGGTCTATTTATAATAAAATATAATTAGCCAATTTTAGTGTAGTTTTGTGCTATACTGTATAGAACGAAGCAAAATTCATAAAACCTATTTAAAAAGTAACTTACAGTACTAATTTGATGGTAGCAATAACTATATCCAACAAAATTTGCCAAACATAATAATATCATGCAAGTCCGAAGTAGTATTATCTACTCACTAAGCAACCAAGGGCTAGGAACCTGCTTCTAAATTTCTCCGTAGTTGATCTTTTTAACCTCTTTCCCCAAGGCATGTCCAATCAAAGAAAGTTAGCGAAATGAAAGGCTATAAGATTCAGTAAAGAATATTTATTTATTTCACTCACATCAAAGTTAATCCTCCTTATAACTTTTTTAACTGTAATATTTGTAAGATAATGTCCACGAGCATTTGTTGCAGAGCTCCCTGACCAAGTGCCTGGGTCGCGACCGCCTCCGCAGGTCCGGGGAGTTGGCTAGCAGCGGAGGCGGCGGAGGTGGCAGTCTCGGCGCAGGTAGGTTCCACTTTGGTCGGTGTTCTTCCAGGAACCACAACAACAACAACAGCCTAAGCAGCGGCAACAGCAGCTACGTTGACCCCGGGACGGACCTGAGCAAGAGGCCACTCGTGGTGAGCTTCCGAAGAAGAAGTGTCAGAACCTCAACGAGCTCTCTACCACCAACCACCCAACCGGCACCTCCGTATCTTCTGAACGTCCCGGAACTCAGTGTAAGCTCAGGGGACGACAGCCAGTGTCCTGTGCCGTGTCCTCGCCTCACCTCCACCCCTGTCCCCCGCAACCCCCGCATAGAGGACATCGAGATCTTCCAGGAGTGCCAACTCAAGATACAAAGGTCGGTCAAGCGACACAAGGACTCCAGCAAGTCCTGCTCTGTCATCCGTCCTGAGAAGAGCAAGTTCCATCCTGTCGACCAGGATCCGCTGAGATACGTTCACAAGTCCTTTACTGTGCCGTGCTTAGTGCTCCACTGAATATATAGTAACCACACACTTTTGCTTACGAAGATTTCCCATCTATTGTATAAACCAGCTGTAAGAGGTTTTCCATTCAAAGAGAACATATTAAGCCAATTGCAGAGTACGTTGATTTAAAAATTCAAGTTCCTCCTTTATTTTATTTTGGTACTACGATATTTTTCATTTTTTGTCGATGCTGTATACACAAAAATCACCATTCAATTTGGTTTGTGAACTCAACTTCAAATCAGTAATCTATATTTTCTTTTTTATAGTTTTAAAAAGAAGTTGGTGGTCTCTTTTAACCTTGCTGCCCGTCCACATGGACTTTAACATAGAATTGACATTAGTGTACTCTATGGGTGGTTCAATTCAACTACTTTTGCACTCTGAATTGCCTGTAACTGTACAAATGGGAATGTGATACTGTATCTACATCCCACAGGGCAGAGATTGTTGACTAGACTATTTCCTATTCCTAGTCAAAAGTGAAGTAGCTAAGATTTTTTATAGAAATGAATATACGTAAATAATCAACTAATCTTAATGTTTTTACGTGATCATCGTAGCGAATTTTATGCAAAGATTTTTTTGCATATTTAAGAAAAAACTAGTACTGAATTTTTAATACAAACAAACTGATAATAAACCCGCAACTAATCAATACTTTCATTGTGAATCAGTTTTCATGAAAATTGAACCTTATTGGTAAGCTATTTTGTACGTATGTAGCTATAATTACAGATTGAATAAGCCTATTGTTTAAAGCTTCGAAGCTCAGCGGCTTAACTTTGTGGCCAAAAATTAATTATTTAAGTTAATAACGTTGAAGTTATTGAAATATTCGTTTGCCTCTATCACCAGTACAGTTTAATATTTATTTGCATTAGGCTAACACCAGTGACAACATTAAAAATTAATTATTAAATAAACTACGTTTTTGGGTTTTAAAGAGTTTTTAAGTATTAATGGTAAAATATTAATAGATAATGTATTTTATTGTCATTTACAAGGTATATCTATATTTTAGCAATTATGTGATTGTTATTCAGGTAAGTAAAAATTAAAAATAAGTAATATAGAAATAATTATTGCTTAAATAAGACTATGTGTGACAAAACTATATGTTTTATGCTGTACCTATTGAAATTCATGTGATATTTAGCGATGTATTGAGGTTATTGTTTTAGAAACTTTTATAATGATGTTTTATAGATGTATTAGAATGTTAAATTAAGTGACTTAAGTAATTCAACTTTTAATATTGTTAGAGTAATTGTTTAACTTACTTATGTATGTATGTCTCAATAAACTCTGCAAATGAGTACGACCGAATAATATAATAAATTTTCAAGTGCAAATGCTAAATGTATTATCTTAAGAAAATATGAAAATAACTCACTGTGAACTTATAAGTAAGAGACATATATTTCCTGTTTTGAGAATGATGTTAGTATAAAATATTCATCTGAAACATTCGTTATCATTTACGTATAGTTTCAGCATAATATCAACAAGTGTAATTAGTCAATTCAATTTAAATCATCTAAGTTGCAATGGCCATTTTCAGAATAGACCTGTTTAGTAAAAAAAAATAAAAAAAAATAAATTATTAGTTAATTTTTCTATGAAATATGTTTGAATATAGTTTTGGTATCACTATTATCTTTGCATACTAGAAATGAATATTCAATCGGTTGTGATAAAAAATCTTTCGAAATAATTACAGTATGTAGAATTTCTTTAATGACATTTTGTGAGGTTCTTTATACATTGGCTATCAAACAAAATCGTGTAAGAGATTTTTTCAAAATATGGTAATCTAGAGCTAAAAAACAACTTATTTATATATACATCGTTTAATTTAAAACCGTAAATTGGATTGTTTATAACTTACTTTGAGTTTTAAATATACAGTGATGTATAGGTGTTCTCTGTTCCAGAGGAAATCACAAAAATCGGGGTAAAAATGCACAGCATCACGATGAAATGGAAAAGCCCGAAGAAAATCAAAGAGACGGTCCTTTGAGGACGTATGAATGTTATAAAAGTCCTCGAGAGAGATTGTGTTGTTGCCTCCATGTTTCGGACTGTGTCTAAGTCCTTATTGGGCCTAACTGTTTGCACATGATTGTTCGTAAGTCTATTTATATACTAAATAAAGTGTTAGCTTTGTAACGAGTAGTTTTTTAAGCCCTTTCAGCCCCCTTACAGAGTGTCCATAAAATTTCAGGACTCTGGTAAAGTATTCTCATACCATATTCTGCAATACATTCTCATACTTAAAGAAAGAAAACAGTTCATTTGAAGGCATGTCTGAACATTCATATTTACCCAGATATCCGCCATTTTGTTTTTATACGTAAAAATCTTTATCTGCATCATTATGTGGAAACTTGGTGTGAATATTACAAATGAAAGAAGTCATAATTAATACCAGACATTCCTTCACATAAACTGTTTTCTTTTATTTTGGCATGATGATAGGCCCTACATAAACTAAAGTCCTGAAACGTTTCTTATGGACACCTAGTACACCAATTGTTCTACTTCAGTTCTTCTTCCTACATTTACAAGTTTATTATACACTCCAAAAGAGTGTTGAGAAAATATTTATTTTTTATATGGAAATTGTATAAGGTCATTTAATAATTTCAATGAAGTTAGAGAAAAAACTTAGTCTATACTTTAAACAGCACGACATCATAACTGTAAACGGTAATTTCATTGTTTGAAAGATTAGGCGTATAGAAATAACAATTCCACTATATTTAAAGACAATATTTATGATAGATTGCATGTCTTAAAGACTGCATACATATATTTCTTTTCGTTCAGTCCAACCAAAAAAATATGAATTTTCAATACATATTAAAGATTATAAAAAAATATCAGTAAATGCAATATTGTAATAGATTTTTGCAAGATATTACTAGATTTACCGGAGTATTTTGGCCAACACAATAGCCGCTTGCACGTGGAGTGTAACAATGTTTGTCACATCTGACACTTATCCGACACGAAGATCGATGAAAGTATGTGTGGGAAGTACTCAGGAATTCGGTGGTGAGTCCATACTGATAAAGAAACACATTCTTAAATCCTTAATAATAATAATCCTTAACGCATTAGTTAAAATAGCTTAGGAATAAATAATATATAAGTAATTTTTAAATATCCTCTTCAATAAATAAAGTATCATAGTAATAGAGAAGTACAAAACCAATATGTACAGCTTTTAGCCATTTAGACCAGATTTCTATGAGCTTTTTTGGTTTAAGCTGGTTGGAGATATTATAAATATAAATGCCAGTGGCATTTTTTAAGTTTTGAAAGGGAACGGTCCAAACCGTGGTCTTGTTCCTAACGTCGACCTTTTTGGATTTAAGCACACATTGTAGGTTTACAGTCGGAATTAACTTCAATAATAGTTATAATCTATATACAAATTACAGTACAAATACAAGTAAAACACTTGTAAACCTTGCGACTTTGGTAAATGGTATGCACATGAATATACTCGTATTGCACTCGTATTAATTATTAAATAACTACTTTACCAGCATCCTACGTGTTAATAAATTTTATGAACACACAGCAAATACGTCAAATAGCCCCTTGCGAAGTGTTTACAAGTGTTATTTTTGTGCTTTCAGGTATTAATTATTGTGATTTTATACGTGCAATTTAGATCAATTTAGGAGACGTATGTAGCTGTGAAGTTTAATATTTAAAATCCAAAACTTGAGTGAGATGTAACACGTATGTTTGGAAAATCTGTATTCAAAACAAATCGTAAATCGTAATAAAAGTAGTGAAAATAACTTAAAATATCATATATAACTTATCATATATTTACAATATAATTATTCGCATTCTTGCATAATCAGTAAACTGGAAACTGTTTCCCTTCAATGTATTTTACGTCAGTTTACGTTTTGATATCAGGATGGTTCAATGTTTCTGAAATGACTAAACTTGGGTTGTAATCTTGAAAGAAACAACAATAGCTGTGTTTTATGAGTTTTGATATAGCCATTTGACATCGAGCTATCTTGTATCGGAAAGTAATAATCTCGTAAACATTCCTTCATACGGAAGTTTATGTTGAAGAGCTTAATCCCTCGTAGTTAAGTTGTTACGATGTGTAAGAACTTATCATCATTGTAATATTTCTATGAAACCTCAGAGAAACTTTTTGTAAGATTAAAAAAATGGGATGGAACCAATAGAAATTTAAATGGTACCATAACATAAAACTCAGACAAATAGTTTTTTTACACCAACAAAATTCTTAAACCCATTCAACCATTCAAAATTATTTTGAACAAATTATGTAACATATTAAACAAGCATTCTGAGTAGAGTTATTTACAGAAATCGCTTCTGAAAAAACAAGTACTAAACTGAAATAACTTCTTACCCGGAGTGTAGTTTTAGATGTAGTGACATATGTTATAACACCTCAAAATACCAACGGATCTTAGTTAAGAGAAAATACTGTGGCTCGTGTTGTGAATGTTTTGGTGTCCACCCAAAGCAGTAGGTCACCCTACTAAATATTTAATAAAATATACCTCTTTTAAACGAGTAATCATTATGGAAATTTTGCTAACCTTCTTAAAAAAAATGTAATAGGATACATGAAATGGTAATTTTTTCATCAAATATTTACTTTTTAACGACAATGGAACGCTATTTTAGCATAGCGAGGACTAAAATCAAAATGTTATTGTTGAATATTGCAATTCAAGATTTAGTCTGTGTTAAGGCTGCCTAAATTAACACAATACTATTTCCTCTAGTCTAAATACAATGATAATCAAGCATTACGCTCTAATGATCATAGAACGTTTCAAGATAAAATAAATTCGGTTAATTAGAATGAAAATCATCCTCGATACAATGGAATGTATAGAGGGAAAATTCAAAGTAAGCGTATATTTACAGTGCATACATTTCAAATTGCGAACCAAATTCGTTATAAAATAATTGTAGCATTCTGTATTTTTATACGTATCATAATAAAACCTACTACTTTAAAATATATTATTCCTACCATTGCATGGAAATGAACACACAACGATACCCAAAATAGCTCATTGCCGCTCTAGAGTGGAAATGGATAATTCCCACTCACTAATCAGCTGATTTCACAGTTGTAATTTTTACACCAGCCAAAGACAAGGATTCGGTATATTACGTTATTTAACAACGGGTAAGCAAATAATATTATCTAAAGAAAATACATAACCTAAATTATATTTAATATACATCTGAAAAGTTGATCTACATGTTAATATAATGTTATTTAATTATAGTGGTTTGAAAAATCTTGTGTGTATCACGTGCACAAACAGTCATTGTACACAAATAGCCATAATAATGAATTGCCAAAATATGCTTGTAAATAGTTCACTTCAGGTAACTAAAACACCTTGCCAAAAGTTTTCTAAGAACAAGTAATCGAACTTGGCAGTGTTGTAACAATCCTCCTTTGAGACAAATTCCAAACAGTTAATCAAAGTAATTGTGCACGAATATAAATACAAATGGAATATATGAAATATCTACCCTTACGTTAAATAATAATTAATGAACTCAAGCGTAACGAAACAACATCTAGAGAAATGCTTTTGTAGCAGGTTTGTTGTGGTTGAAAATGTATTCCTATCCATTTCCCGGCAAATAGCCGCATATGTCATGGGGCTTTAGGTAGCATACTGGTTTCAACATCTTTGACTGCTTAGTTTGGTAAACATTTTTCTTTTGATAATTGAGATTTGTAAACATTTTTTTTTTAAACGTGGCTAAAAATTATTAATTTAGGATTTTATATCACCACAAAAAATTTACAATCTCAAGAACAGTTCAATGTTGCCTTATACAGTTCTACTCTGTTACTTCAATTGAATTGAATTACAGCTGGGTAGCTCAGTGGTTATAGTGCTCGCCTGGTAATCAAAAGGTCACCGGTTCGATCCTGACAAAAGTCTGTAGCTATTTGATGGCTCGAAACTGGACCCAGCTGTCCTTGATCATTGAGCTTTCAATAAAAGGTGAAACAGCTGGTCTTAGTCAGTACCGAAGCTGAACAATGCATCTCACTTCATTCTACCCTCATTCTGCACTCATATTCGGGTTAAAATACGCACATAAGTGCCATCCCCATTTCATATGGTAATATTAAATTAATTACCACAGTATTAGAACGGTAAAATTAATTAAGTGCAGTTACAGTAATTATTGGCTTACAGCTATTCATTGTTGGTTTGCGACAAACGAGTAGAAAATAGAATTTCAATTACAGGTCGGTTTGATAAAACTGTCACTTATTGACAACAAATAAACACATGTTTGGTGATTGTAAATAACAAACTCTCATCTGGACCACGTCACACTCGCATCAAATATTCCATCCATATAAAGTGTTCAAGTGCGACTAAATCTGTCAATGCGGTTTATTGGAAAGGGTTTGAAAGTTGTTTAAAAATTGTTTTTGTTTAACTATAAGTCATATATACAGTTTTTTTTTAGACAACAATACTTACTTACCCCAAAATGTATATAGTATTTAATAATTTAAGAGGAAATCATCGAGTTATATCCCATAGTTTCTAGCTAAACGTACTAGTAAACATTCATTTATATAGTTGAACTTATTTATACTACATGTAATTCACACGACTACCAGTTCATTATTATCACCAGAAATGCATCATCAATTACCTAAATTGTGTTATCTCAACTTTAATATAAATTGTATTACCAGTAGAAACTTTCTTAGTAATTTTATTGGTATGGACTGTGTTACGTGACACTTAGGCTAATGAGCTAATTAATTACTTGCTAAAACTCCCTGATCTTGTTACTAAGTGACGTCATTGTTATTGTTTGCACTTAAATTTTAGTCCATCAAAGCTGAAAAAATAAGCGAGAAACAATTAATTAGAATAACCGTTCAAGGTGCAAATATATCAATTTTATTCTCATATATCTTGATTTTCAATTGAATGTCAATTGAACTGTAAGGGATTTAAATAATCTATGGAGAAAAATCACCTTGTAATGTCAAAAAATATTATAAATACAAAATGTTATTACTATTTGCA